AAGGACAGGTCCGGGTCCTGGAGGAGGCCAACTCCCAGGGGAGTGTTTGTGGGAGGGCTCCTGCCCAGCCCGGAAGTGCTGGGGGAAGGTCCTGGGCTGGGCCTTGCGGGAGGGGCCTGAGGAATCTGTTGGCCGCGACAGGGCCTTGGCCGACCTGGGTGAGGAGTGGCCCTTTAGCGTGTGTCGCACACTGACTGTCCAGACTCAAGATTCTGGCAAAACGCAACAGAAAGGGGAAACGCAGACCAAACAGACCCATGTTCTTGGTGGGTGAGGCCTCATTTAATTTGATTATTTTTAAATTTTCAATTGTATTTGTAAAAGAAAGATACCAAACTCAGAGAATTCACATGATACAATGTTCAAAAGGCACACAAAGTATGCAGTTGGAGGCAACTGTCCCTCACTAGGTAAAAGGGTAAATAAATTGCGACACATACAGACAATGGAATACTACTCTGCACTGAAAAGAAATGAGCTGACAAGCCGTGAAAAGACATGGCGGAATCTTCCATGCGTATCATTAAGTGAAAGAAGCCAATGCGAAAAGGGTAACATATTGTGTGACATTCTGGAATAGGCGACTAGATGACATTCTAGAAAAGGCAAAACAATGGAGACGGTAAAAAGACCAGTGGCTGCCGGGGGTTTGGGGGTCGGAGGAGATAAATGGGCAGAGCACAGAGGATTCTTTAGGGCAGTGAAAATACTCTTTACGATACTATAGTGCTGAATACATGTCATTATACATTCGTCTAAACCCATGGACTATACAACAGCAAGAGTGAGCGCCAACGTCAGCTGTGCATTTTGGGTGATGGTGACGTGTCAGTGCAGGTTTGCATTGTAACAAATGTACCAGTGGTGGGGGGTGTTGACAATGGGGGAGGTTGGGCGTGTGTCGGGGCAGGGGGCGTATGGGAGATCTCTGTGCCTTCCCCTCAATTTTGCTATAAATACAAAACGAAATAATATCTTAAGAATAAATAAATTAAAAAAATAAAATGAAAAAGAAAGTATGCAGTGAAAATTCTCCCTCTCACCCAGAAAAGGCTCCGCTGGAGGAAACCCACGCGGGTGGCCTGTGACACAAAAGGCAGCATAACATATGTGCTGTACTGCATCCTGCTTTTCGTCATCTATTTTAATTTTATGTAAACAAAGGTAGAATGGAGAAGTGCAATCCCAAAGTTAAGGGAAGGGATATAGACAACTCAAGAGTCCCCTACACAGCAGGGGATGGATAGATCACCAGGACACCCAGCGAGGTGAAGGAAGATTTGGGATAACTACAGAGGACACCCAGATTTGAACCAGAGGCCCGCTGATGTGCAGTCAAGTGCTTCACCCCTGAGCTACACCCCTTGCTGGGCCAAGCAGGCCTCCTTAGGGCTTCTCAGTTGGGTAGCTCCATCCAAGAAACCCATAAATAACTATAAGACTTAATATTTATTGCACACTTATAATGTGCTTCATACATATGATTTTAAAAATGATTTGTTGTCGTACTATGTCTATCACCACCACCACCGTCACCACCCTTAAGGGTGACAGTGACACAGGGAACTGAAGCAACGTGGTCCAAATCACAAAAAAATAAGTGACAGAATCAAGAGTTAAATGACCACCACTTCATCCTGCCTGGACACAGCTGCCATTTGAGGATGCTGCCACAGGGCAGACCTTTGTCCACGCCCGGTGACAACCAGCGGTCCCTCTTCCCCTACCTCCCTGCAGACTCTCTCCCTTTGTATAATAAGGTCGCCCAGAAAAGCAGAGAGGACCTAACCCCGTGCCTTGAGAGGACTCAACAGTGGCTTCTGGAAGTCAGATCACTTGAACTGAGGTTTTCTAAATTTGTAAATTAATTAGCTTTTGTATGAATAATGCACAAAATTAAAAATGCACAAAACAGCATACAGAGAAAAATTAAGGCTCCATTATTATTGTGGAGATCATTTTGCCATATATACATATGATTGTACACCCTAAGCTTCTAAATGTTATATGTCAAATATATCACAGTAAAACTGGAAAAAAATTTTAATAAAAATATATGAATTAAAAAGAAATCACTTAAGTCGAGTTGCCATCCATCAGCAGACATAATTACAACTTTTTCTCTTGTGATGAGAACTCTGACGATCTTTTCTCTTAGCAACTTTCAGATACACGATATGGTATTAACTGTAGTCACCATGATGTATGTTACACCCCAGGGCTTATTTATCTTATATCTGCCTTGGTTTCCATGTTTGTCAAGTGTGGACTAGGATGACACTTACCTTGCAGGCTTCCTGTGAGGATGAAATAAGAAGGCGAAGACATCTCTCCAGAGAGGACAGAGTTGAGAAGTGAGAGAAACCTGTAGAGCCCAAGGAGAAAGTTGGTCTTATTTTCAGTCCAAACGAGATGCTGCATCTATGGACATCACATAAGAGCCGGAAAACCTCTAAAAAGCTACCCTTGCAGGGGGCACCCGGATTTGAACCGGGGACCTCTTGATCTGCAGTCAAATGCTCTACCCCTGAGCTATACCCCCAGGGTTGAGTGACTCTTCACTCACAGCTTTATAGTCACACAGCCACACCCAGCTGCCCTATAAACAAGTATAGTTTTTGCATCTTCAGTTTCATGTCCCATCGTCACTTCATACTGGCCTTTCTGCTCTGAACCCCAACCTGCTTTTTTTCCTCAAGTTCGGTGAATTGATTTGGTCACGATCTTTTGCCCACAGCTGGAGACAGCAGGGGTCCAGGGAGCCTCTCCTTACCTAGCCGAGAAAACCCAGGCCACCTGGAGCCCCTGCACGACACCACGCTCCAGGCCTGCCTGTTCACTCCGCCAGTCGCCCTCCCTCTACCATCTTTTCTTTATCCGTCCATCTTTCTTTTTGCCCTCCATCTCTTTAATTCGCCACCTGTCTTTCCTCCTCCCACTATGTCACTCACGGCCTCCTCCCCACCGTCTTCCCTCTCCAAGACACCCAGGCCTCTTAGTTCTTTGTCTAAGTCGAGTGTCGTCTTTTTCAAACTAACTCCTTACCTGAGATGTAGATGGAAGAAAGACCTAGCAAATAAAAGGAGGAACATTTATTTCCAAAAACGGAAGAGATGACGGGAGCTAAGAAAACTGAGAATAACAAGGTAAGTATCATCCTAGTCCGCACTTTACAATGGAGGACTCGTTCTAGTTTATATCAGAACGTCTGCTAAAACACAGGACTGAACACAGCACCAGGAGAGAACACCTGGAATCCAGACCTGGGAAGACACCACAGCACACACCACGATCTAATAAAAGATCGTCGCAACCTACCTGTTCAGCTGCCCCTTCCGCCCGCCTGACGGCATCACACTTCCTCTCGCAGATACGCTTAAATGTGTACTGCTTACTCCATGGCAGAAAGACCAGGACTAAAAAATAAACAAGGGGATTATGGGAGACTTTTTACATTTTCTTTATACTCTACCGTAGTTTCCAAATTTTCCGCATAAAATGTATTCTTCTCAAAATGTCACAAATTTAAGCATATTCCCTTCCAGTAACTGCAAGCAATATCGTTTCCTATTTACATAATTAATAAATAATTGCTTTAAGACAAAAAGGATCAATGGAATGCTAATTTGAGAAATCTGCATTATAATTTACACTTAACTCATTCAAGCTTTTATAGGAATCATTATTTCCATTTTGCAGAGGAGGACACAGCCTCATAGCTTCATCAGCCATCTGGTCCCCCTCCACGTTAGGATGTGTGCCAATCTAAGCTATTAATAATGGCTCAGTGTTTACTATGTTGAGTGTTTACTATGTTGAAGGCACTGCATGTACATCTCCCATTTAATCCTCCCAAGATCTCTCTGACGCAGGTAAAATTGTTCTCTCTCATGAAATAGCTAAGATTACCCCCATTTTACAGATGAAGAAACAGAGACTAAGAGGGGTTAAGTAACTTTCATTCAGTCATTCGACAAACAGTAAGCACCCACGGCATCCCAAATTCTAGTCTAGGTACTGAGGGCTCAGCAGTGACCAAGGCAGGCAAACAAGGTCCCTGATGGGATTTCGTGGAGCTTCTATTCTGAAAGGTGTAAGGTGACAGACAAGCAAACAAATATGTGAGCGAGATCATCGCAGATCCTGAGAGCACTATAGGAAAATAAAGCCAGGCGATGTGATGGACGACAGTGAGGGAGAGATGGAGGTGGTCGGGGAAGTGACAACCCGAGCTGAAGTTTAATAAGAAGCCAGTGTGTAAAAATTTGGATGCAGAACATTCCAGGCTGTGGGTATGACTGCCAAGGCCCTAATGCGGGAACTAGCTTGACAGGAGCATCAGGGAGTGTGAACAGTACCAGTGTGGCTGCAGCAAAGGGACAGAGCAGGACAGACCTGAGTAGTGGTCAGGGAGGTGGGTTTTATTTCTTGTCCCTCTAGGGGAGGATGGAGCCTGGACTGAATGCAGACCTGTCTCCTCCTATGCACAGGGACCACACACCCCCAACCTTCCTGATGGGCTCACTGCAGTGGAGTTGGCACAGTCTGTGGCCTGGCCTATTGTGACAGGCTTCCCGAGTCAGGCTGTAAGCCTTTGGCCACAAATTTAGGTTTGTTATTGTTCATCCAGTCAGCCTGGTTCCTGCCCTTGTAAAGGTGACTTTCTAGTGGATGTGGTACACATGCGTGTGACACTGTCACTCAGGTACTTCTTCAATCACCATTGTGATGAGTGCTGAGTGCCCACAGAACAGGGCAGGGTGATCCTAGTCTGTGGGGTTCAGGAGAAGCAGTGACATTGCAGGACAGTTAGGATGAGTGGCCCAGGAGGACCAGGCAGTACGGGCGCAACCTCAACCGGAACTGCAGAGAGGTCAGGGTGTGGAGTCAGGGACACAGCCTCTTGTGGGTTGAAGTGGGTCTTCCCCAAATTCACGTCCTTCCAGGAACCTCAGAATGTCACCTTACTTGGAAATAGGATCGTTGCAGATGTAATTAGTTAAGATGAAGTCATACTGGAGTAGGTGGGTCCCTAATGCAAGTCGTCCTTGGTCGTTGCAGATGTAATTAGTTAAGATGAAGTCATAGTGGAGTAGGTGGGTCCCTAATGCAACAGTCGTCCTTATATGAGACACAGAGACAGAGACACATATGAACACGTGACGATGGAGGCAGATACCAGAGGGATGTGTCTACAAGCCAAGGGAAGCCAAAGGTTGCTGGCCACCACCGAAAGCTCCGTGAGAGGCGTGGAACAGATTCTCCCCGAGAGCCTCTAGTGAGAACTGTGACAGCTCTGATTTTGGACTTCTAGCCAATAAATTCCTGTAGTACAAGGCCACCCAGTTTGTGGTCCCTTGTGACTGCCGCCCTAGGAAACTAATAAACTAATACACAGCCCAAGATAGGGCTGGAGAGGCAGGTGTGGCCTCCTGGGCCTGAGGAGGTTCTGGATTTTACCCTAAGAGCCATGGGAACCACTACCCTTAGGGTAATAAGCAAGAGGGCCATGATCAAACGTGCACTTTCAAAGACTTCCTTTCTGGGGCCTCGTGTCCCCAAAACATTCAAATCCATTGAGAGTCAGGTCCCACAATAAGGCCCCACAATAAGGCCCGGGCCACCGTTTCAACGCCACTGTCCGCTTAACCATCACTCACACTCAACCCAAGGTGCTCCTCAGACTCCACCCCAACCTCCACCTCAGTTCTCACCTCTGCCTGCAGGTACCCACCTACTTCCCGCAAAGAACAAGCGTGACCTGGTGGACTTTCAGGAGACCGGTTTGGCCACATACATCAAAAAAAGCCTTAAAAAAAAAATCCATACCCTCTAACGGTGCTGTTCCACCTCTTGGAAATAACCAAATATTCGAAAATGTTGTAAGAACCAAAATCAGCCCGGCCCATCATCAGAGCGTTTCTCAAGGTTCACCCACTTCTACATGGTGTAAATACATCTGCCACTAGCTTAACTGACCTGAACTTCAGAAAAGTGGGCAGCATGAAATGCTGCCGGGGAAAGGGTTTTCATAAACCCTGACGCTCGGGCAAACTCCGGGGCCACCCCTTCCTCCTTGGTCCCCGCGCCCGCGGGATTCCCTTTGTACCCTTCTCCTCCACCGCGGCTCGGCGGGGCGGGGCGGGGCACGTCTCCGCTCGGCCGCACCCTGAGGCCTGTCCTTTGTTTTTGAACCACCAGGTCCCCAGCCCCGGATCCGCACAACGCACGGGCCCCACCGGAGCTCGCGGGATTGGGCCGGGCAGGCCAGCCGTGCAAGGAAGCAAGAAAACACGGAAGGGAGGGCCGGTCTCGGGGTGCAGCAGCACCGCTCCGCGCCTGCCCGGAGTTAGGCCCACCGCTCGGCCCACCCCGGGGCTCCGGGGACGGCCCCTTCCTGAGCGCGCGA